TACGAAAGTTCAACAGCTCCCATTCGGAATATGCGTATCTGTCACAATTCACTTGGGTCACAAAGAACAAAAGAAAAAATACTGCGAGGACAAGTAAGGCTGCTGCCACCCAGGGCGCTGCCATGTTGTTCCATCTTCTTTCACCCATTATTTTTGTAATCTTCAGTTATTTAATTAAATGCATAATACATATTATATGGTATGATATGGCAATTTTATACAAAATATAAAAACTACATATAACGCATGAAAATTTCAATTACAATCATGAAAGAGCTCAGAAATGCAAAAAAGGATATTATTCCGATAGTGGCCTTAATTCAGGTCTGAAAGGGTTAATCGGAACTCATAGACCAAGATCCGCCATTTGTGGGTTTGACTTGATACTTGCCTGTGCCGTTGGTTCATACGCGGTGGTGTGCCTGAGCACTCAAAATGTTCATCATGTCTTGTGAGGATGTGATATCTGACAATGCTACAGCCACCGTTGCTCTTGCCAGGGCCGCCCAGAGAGGGGGGGGGGGGTAATTGGGGCAATCTGTCCCGGGCCCCACATATCAAGGGGTCCCAAGGGGGCCTCCAAAGGGGCTCAAGGGGTCTCCAGTTTAGTTTTGCCCCGGGCCCCTGGAAACCTCTGGGCGGCCCTGGCTCTTGCAGATGGATTTCATGAGTCTATTCCCAACGAATAGCAGATGGTTCAATGAGTATCAATCAGGAAAATTTTAGCAAAATTCATTAGTGGAAATTTCTGAATGAACTTCGAGAAAATTCAAGTATCAAGTTCTAGTAACACATTCAGCTAGACTTATTTCAAGTCTGTCTCGATTTAAGATGGACTTTAAGTTAAGTTCTAATATGCGGCCAATAGTGTACAATTTGGAGAAAAAAACTTGTTCGTATCAAATGAAAAATTGATCTCGAAGTCGACGTTGGGCTGGGGTGGGTGATGGCAATGGCATACAGGGAACCTCCTCGCAAACACTCAGGTCTGGTTGCACCTTGCAGTATGTGCAGACCCAAAAGTGAGGCAAAACAAAACTTGGAAGGGAGACCTCAACCACCCCCTATCATTCACAGCTAATTTCTTCCTGGACTGAGAGGGAATGCCAGGATGAGGGTGACAAGGTGGTACGGAAATTTTCATGGTTCTTTCTTCCCAAAATTACCTCGAGGAACGCATGCAACCACTTCGTGGGATGCGCTATAAAATTTACTCCTTAGTGAAAATATTTTCGTCATTGGTATATTTTACAGGGGAGCAGGGGGCTTGATAGTTTTGGTAGAGTCATATAATCTGGTAGCTCGATTTGCTTGCAAGTGTAATTCTTTCATTGGTGGTTAGTCACCTGCTACTGTACAACATTTGGTAGTTCTAGGATGACTTCTTCACAGACTTGCCACTTCAATGGTGGCTAATGTAGTTTGTAGAATTCCTATCATCAGACATCAAATTTCAAGCATAAATGTTTCATTCTCAAAAATATAGAAAATATTGCAAAACATCAGCACTTGATGCCTTTCTGACAAATAGTTTCAGATAGAAAGGCAGTCGTAGATACTGGAGGGGCACTAAGGAATGAGACCATGGAGTACTCATGAGAGTGTCATCAATTTTCTTCTTCCATCATGTCACACCTTAATGTTCAGCAACATATTAGTTTCTAATCATGATTCCCCTTTAAACAAAAGCAGGTTTCTTGGTGCCAAGATGGGTACACTTTGGAATGAAACACAGTTAGTCATTGATTATATCATCATCACAAAACTGAAATTCCCTGAGTTTGGCAGCAGTGGAACTGGAGAACTTCTGTGTCTTGGTCTTTTGTGCTGATTCAAGCAAGCATGAGGTCATGGAAGTAGATCCACCGTCTCCTTCTTGGGCAGACTCCCATCCACCCATGGAAGCACATCCTTGTTGCTTTTGACCAGGCTGTAACTTGGAAAGGATAAGACTGGCCAATGCAGCTGCTTTTGCTTTTCTTTTCTCCTCTTGAGAATTGACTCCCATCAATTGATGAGGGTCCTCTGATGTCAGCATTTCATGGTCATCTGGCTCAGGGTCAGGGTTGGAGCGGCATCTTAGTCTCACTGAAGGAGTTGGATGATCCACTTGAGACTTCCCAGGTACTTTGGCTCTCTGGGTTTTCTTAGCCAATTTGAATGCAAACTTCTTGAGGAAGTTGGAGACATCCACTTGAGCGCTCCCAACATCATGGCTCGGTCCACATGTGTTAACTTCCTCAACCTCTTCGCACCTTATTTCTTTGGGTGACAGATTCCTCTTGAAGTGGAATCTTGACTTCTTTGATGAGGGACCTTGCATCTCATTGAGGGATGAATCTCGTTTGCACTTGCCCTCTTTGCTGTCTTTGACATTCCTTGGAATGTCTTGGAATGAGCTTTCTAGCTCACAGGAATGACCTGTACCTAGTTCATCTCTACCAGTTGGATCTTGCACACTACTGACTTTTGTCAATCTGGGAACAGAACTGCCAGATGTCGCTTGAGAGGCTTGGAACCATTCTGAATGATTTTCACATCCATCATTCTCAGTCTTGCCTGACACAACACTCTGCAGGAAGTTCCGTTCCCCTTCCAGAAACTCCAAGTTCTCATCATGGATTTCCATTGGCTGACTGGTGAGTGGGTGACGGGGATGAGGTTGGGGTGTCCCTGACTTCAAGGAGTTCAACCAGGCTATTTCCTTCTTCAAAATTTCATGTAAACCCAGCTTATCCAGGATCAGGGACACTAGGAAAATGACACCAGGAGTGGTTTTGTCAAGATGTCCATGAGAGAATGAAAAATGGCTGCAGTAACAATAAGGGAATATATACTGTACCCAAACTGCTAGGAATCCCCAACTAAGACCAAATTGAAAGTGCACTTATTAGGAATTATGACATCTGCTTCTACATGCAGGGTGATTTAAAAAATTCAGTCATCCAATTGGCAATTGAAAAAGTGAAAGTAATTTTGGTTGCACTCTTGTTTCATTGCTTGAGGCAATGCCCTCTGAACAGGAGTCCTGCAATTGGTCCTGCAATTCAGAATCTGTTTCATCCCCTCACAGAGCCAGTTTCTCTGGATGCCCTTCTACATCATGGTCACTGTTGAATTGATTTTAGCAGGGCTCTCAGCGTTGTTGTCATCTGAGCTCCTTTTTTCAAGTAGTGTGGTCACTGTTTTTTCCAAAACTGGAACTGAGAAAGTTTGCTTCACTTCTCTGTAGTTCCAGTGACTTCAGCCTATCTCCAGTAATGAAGAATGAGCACTGGGGAAAACACTAAGACAGCCAGATGAAGTCAATGCAATAGTTGCTTCAATAAGGAGGGACCTCAAGAAAAAGTGTCTCCTTGAGGGGCTGAAAGAGGATCATGGATCACCAAGTTAAGTGTATTCTATTCAAGGGACATTGCTTCAAGTGAGGAAGCAATTGTGTGACAAAAATTACTATTACTTCTCCAACAGCCAATCAGCTTACAGAAAGTTTACTCTCCATGAAAAGTGTTGTGGCATCGAGACACCCTCAAATAAAATAGTTCACTCCTATTAGGCTGAAATGAGACTTTCTGAGCATTAAAATGGCAGGTAGCTTCTTTTACAGTAGGCTTTCCCTAATAAGAAAAGACTTATGATGTCGCAAAAGAAGAAGGCTCAAGATCCTTTTCAAAACTGGGTGTTTGTGAAAACCTCATGATGTTGTGATGGAACAAAATCTTGAGAGCGTGGTGTGTCATCCACACATTGATAAAAAGAGAGCCCCCCCCCCTGAGAATCACAAAAAAATTATTGCCCATGACCCATGAATATCAGGAACTGACATTGATAAGAAAATCAAATTAAGGCCAAGACAACGTTAATATCTTTGGGCCACACTCCCTGTTCTGTATGTGTCCACTTTAATTGGCTGTAAAAAAAAAAACCAGATATGAAGTCATAGTGCAATACTGATGGGGTTGTAACATAAGTAATGTCTTCTTTTAAAAAAAAAATTTGGAACTTTAATCAACAACATAATCACCCTCTTTTTCAATAACATAGTCCCATCTTTGTGGCAAATTTTCAATGCCCTGCTTGTAGAAACTGGTAGGTTTTGAGTCAATGAAGGCAGTGAAGTCAGAAGTGTCGGAAGTCAATGTTGTCGTACTGTTTCTGATTCAGGTAGTTCTGTAGGATCAAAACAGATGGTAGTCAGATGGTGCAAGGTCAGGTGAGTATGGTGGGTGCAACAGGACTTCCCATTGGAACTCTCTGATTTTCAACTAGGTCACATTTGCAACATGGGGTCATGCATTGTCATGCAGGAGAATGATACCCTTGTGATTCACCAGAGCAGGCCATTTTTGGAGCAAAGCTTCACCAGAACTTGCAGTGTGTCAGTGTTGAGGTTGACAGGTAGGCTGGATTAGGGGTGATTGAACAGGTTAAAGTTGCCCAAGTGGAACTTGGTGAACTGACGCTGACACTTGTGAACATCAAAAACTTCACTATAAGGTGCAAATGTTTTTGGTTGCATCAGTTGCATTATTGCCTTGCTTGAACTCATAGAGCATGCAATGGCAGATGTGGATGTCACCAATGGTCATTGTAGACTAAGATAAATAGGGGTTAGAATATTTGTTTAAATATAATAAATATATCAAAATGACTGCAAATACATCTACTTTAATACAACATATGATATAATATATATTAATTTAATTATATGCCATATATTTAATTACATGCCATACAGAACAGCATATAATTTATTTTCCTCAAAATGTCAGAAAAAAATGATATTACTTATGTTACAACCCCATACTTACAGTGAAACTTAAACTGGGGATGGATGAAGAAAGGCATGAGACAAGGTCTGAAAAAGTAACAGGGAAAGGTCAGGTATTGAACCTGACCTCCTGATTGCTAGACAGTTATGCTAGCACTACACCTTTGAAACAGAGTATTCAGTCCCTTCTCTCTATGATCCTATTCTCTCTATTCCTTTTTCATACTCAGCATGTGCTTGTTAATTTGTAGCATTACATTAGGAAAGATTTAACCAAAGAATGCCAAGTATTACCAAAACATGACCATATTCCCTTAAGTATAACTGAAACATGACCTACAACCTAGTGCAACAAAGATTTTTTTAATCATTTTCCCTTCACTGTTGCCAGGATGCCTTGACATTACAGGTGAGTCTAGCCATTTGGAGCTCTTCATAAATGAGTGGATTCTTCTTAGCCATTGTAAAAGTATAGTTCCCCTCTATATCAGAGCTAATAAGCAGGTCTAATGCATTGTGACTATGAATGAGTGGCCAGAGATAAATGGATAAATGGACGAATCTCTCAAGGTGAACTCATTAAAAGAGGGTTTTAAACTTCATATGCCAAACTGGAGACAAAGGCTGCAGACTTCCTGAGTCCCATAAAAATAACCCAAAATGACTTATAGATTTTGTTATCATATAGGGATGAAAACTGATGCAGCTGACTCCTGGTAATGCCAATTTCGTAGACATTGACATGCCAAGCTATTGATATAATGTCAAGCTGAAGAGGAGAATACAAAAACAAGCATTATGGTTGAAAACTGACTCTGTGCATGATATTCTTGCATGGGATCCTTGGGAAAAGCAGTGTGAAGGGCATTGGTGGGAGGGAGAATGACCCCACCACGGAGACTTGATTCCATGATAGCTACTGCTGCTACTGCATCCATCACCCGTACTTCCTCCGAACAGCACAGCTTTGAATGAGCTTGAGACAGCCTAAGGAAATCTAGTTCTCAAAGTTCAGCAGTTTCCTCCAACTTTACATTTCAATTCTTTCAGTCAACAAACCGTATGAGGCTCTCCAGGAGGCGGATGGTGACACGAAGATTCCCCATGATGGAGGACTTACGCTGGGCTGCATAATAGTGCCGGAGAATGACACAGGCATCTTCTGACAACCCAGGACGGAGTCCACGGATGTATGAGAAATAGGCCCGTAGCTTCTCTAAACCCCACAATGACTCCTCCTCCTCCTCCTCTGTCTCTTCAATCTTTTTCCCTCCAAGCAGGTGGTCTGACATGGCCCTGTAGGATTAAAAATAATGCATCTAGAAACACAGAAGGTACATGCATAAAATACAATCAACTAAGAATGGTTTCTTTGCCATCTGAAACCTAGAGATCATGGATGGATTTCAATACATTGAGGATGGGTCCCAGAGATTTACTTGCTTTGCTACCCAAATGCACCTGAGTGATCCTGGAGATCTCCATGCTCTTTCAACTAATTCAACAGGGAAATTTTCTGCTCTCTGTAGATAAGGAGATGGAGTCCATATATATGCAATTTTTCATAGCATTTACAGTTACTTTGAAAACAGTCAAAATCATCAGAAATCTAGAGTGATCCACATAAATAACTTCCAGTCCTCAATCACTTATGATTGAGGGAGAAAAGATCATGAGAAAAAAGGTTTTTAACTCAAGTATTTTAACATTTAGTTTAGAGAAATTCATATTTCACACCGTTAAGTTAAGGAATATTACAGGAATATGTAATGAAAATGGATCTCACAATAACTCACAACATTTTTGTGCAAGCATATCAGACTGAAACTTTTATTTATGTTCACAGGATTACAACTCATTCAAGATTCACCAAATTCTTGTTAGAACTCACATGTATGATATCTTCAACATCTAATATGTCTCTGAGAAATTTTGTGCAATAGTAAGAGTGATTATAAGCTTTAAATTTCAGAAACTCTTGATTAGCAGCAGAGTGAGGTAGATGGTTGTTTCTCATATTGGCATAAGAAAGAACCATCCTCCATATGAACTGTCTGCAAGTATTCCCTTTTATTCTTTTTTTCCCCTCTTTCTTCTTTATGCCTCCCATTTCACTGGTACCATATGTGACACTATACAGTAAATCAAGGAAGGTTTGCCACTGGACTGCTGGGCTTTGTATTTATATTGGTAGCCTATGGCACATCACCTTGGGAGGCAATGGAACACTTCACTTTGCTATCTTGCACGCATGCATGTGTGTGTCCTGTAGCCATGTACATCCCCAAGGCATATTGGCCATTCTACCATGCTTACTTATAGGGATGGAAATGAAATGGAATGGCAGATATAGTTAGGAAATAGGAAGGATGAAGGGAAGATGAAAAAAAGTGAAGATGAAGCTGTCCAAAAGCCAACTTGGAGTAAGTCAAGAATATCAGGACAATAGTGGGAAGCATTATCAAGGATATGATGTATGGTTGTAAGGTATCCATATGTAGGGTATCCATAAAGTGACTATGGGAAACTGTTTTATTCTTGAATCTGAGGTGACTATTTCTTTTGGGTATGTAGATTGACTATTTGTAGACTTCAGAATGATGTCACATCTTTCCACCTTCTACTTTGGTGCAGCTGAAAATTAATTCTCCAACCCTTGCTTAACCCCTTCACTGGTGTGGACAAGCTGGTCTCGTCTCAAAAACAATTTGTGTCTGAAAACATGCCAGTGAAGGAGTTAAAAGCTCTGAGAATTAAGGAACCTCTGCACTCCTCAGAGATATGGCAGATGCACAATTCCTTGATTCATTATTGAACTCTTCTTCAGAAAATATGAATCAAGGAAATTATTGTCAAATGTTAGAAAATTTATTTGTTTCCACAATTGGAACATTGAAGAATATGCCAGTAGAATTGTAATATTCTTAGGGTATAAGTGGAGGACAAGTCAAAACACCTCAGTTCATAAGTAAGGATCAAAGAAATGAATTCTCAATATGCTCAAAGCTAGTCACTTAAAGGACTCCTGGTAGTTTTAAGAGAGAAGGACCATGCTACTGGCACAAGGACCTGGAAAACCATAAGACTGTTTCCTTCCTTAATGGATATTCTGCCATTCCATCAACCTGATGAAGAGGTGTCTGTCTGTGGGAAGTACTACTTTACAGTAAAAAAAAAAATATATATATATATATGCTACTTTTTATCATGACCCCATGCCAAATTCAAGTGGCATGGAGATATGTGCAGCAGTAACATAGTAACATCTTGCTAGTCAATGTGAACTGATGAGAGTGATAAAAGTGACAGGTAAAGTAGCCTCCTGTGATGATTCATCATTGTAGACTGTGAGCTCACAGGAGGTTAATGAATACATGAACCAAAGGAGATGAAGGCAAGTACTCACAGATCCCAATTGTGATTGCGGTTATCCAACAGAGTGAGGATGAGATCAAAGCGACTGAGAAGAGGACTGGCCAGGGATGTATTCACCGAAAGAGGAGATTCTGGATCATAGCTTCCCTTTGGATTTGTGGCAGCCAGGATAGTACATCGGGTGTTCAACTTGCACACCAGCCCAGCCTGCCAGCCACTCAGTAGTCAAGACAGTACTGACTCTTTTCACAGAGAAGAAGAATGTAACTTTCTTTTTACCTTGGCCACACTGATGGTCTGTTGTTCAAGTGCTTCATGGATACTGGCACGGTCATGTTCTCGAATGGAACAGAACTCATCAATACAACACACTCCTCCATCTGCTAAAACCAGGGCCCCTGCTTCAAGCTGCCATTCCCCTCCATCCTACTCTCATCCATCAACCAAAAAGAAAGACTTTGACATTCCATCAATGAGAATTACTGACCATGGCTTGAAAATATTCAAATGCAAGGCTCCAGTGGAAAGCATTTAATAATATTCTTCATCAATCTATGGCAAGAGCCTAGATTAAGTATGATGGGAGGAGAGAAGACCTTGATGGCAGAAACAGTAAGGCCAGCACTGGTGGTGCCAATCCCTGTGGTCAGGACAGAGCGAGAACTCAACCTGGCTGCATAACGCAGAATCTGAGATTTCCCTGTACCTATAGAGGAGAATTCCTGCTCTCAGCAAACAGATAGAGGAGGCAGGCAGAGTGTCTTAAAAGGGATTTACCAGGGTCTCCAACAAGGAGAAGATGGGATTCTCCACGGAGGCGAGTCCCTGATGGATCCACTTTTCTCACTCCTCCTGCCATGACCAGGGCCAGTGCCAACTTCACAGTATACAGTCCAAATATCTGAGAACATTGTAACTTGACATCATTAATGTACACCACATTACTACAAGATGATATCCATAAATGGAAGCATATCTTTTTCAGAATTCTTTTAATAGAAAAATGGGTTTGTGTGTGCGTGAATGAGGTTAAAAGAATTCTGAAATTGGACCGTTAAGTGAGGTAAAAAAAAATCAAAACAATCAGGCATTTTTAATTTCTTTGTATGGCATCAGACAGAGGCTCTCAAAATAGTAAAAAACATGCCTGCCTCTCATGAAACTATCTGAAGAAACAAGCACTACTTTCTGAAAGATGCCTAGTTACCCAACTCCCTCCAGTTACTGAAGCTAGTGATTTGGGTTACACTATATACTTCAGGTTTTCCAGTTGCCATTCAATGCAAAAGAACTGCAATTGATGTCCATGACCAATTAATGGTGGACCAAATTCTTTGGAAACCAGGCAAAAATTATCAAGGGGGAATTCCAACTGCACCTGTGATACAATTCACTTAATTTTGTCCTCTGCAAAATTGAAGAAAATGAAACTGCTCCTGGATTAGTGTGGTGACAATCAAGGCATGGTGCAGTATGCCAAACTAGGTTAAATGGGATGTTGGATGTTTTTCATAGGCAACACAAAACAAAAAAAGAGGTCTATGGAGATCAAGTAAGAGTCAAAAGAGCAGAAAAACCTCCATTCCTCAATATTATCACCTAGGGCAGAGGCACCAGTTTGTGGACAGTTTTGAGTTTTTTGCCATTTCACAAAATCCATGCTGAAAATTTATTTCCTCAAATGTATATACGAGGTGTGGCTATTATGTTTCCAGACTGGTTTTATTGCTGAACTTTGAGAGAGAGGAGGGGAGTGGGGCTATGGCAGTAACATGGAGGGGAGTCTTAGCTTATAGCTGGGCAAGTTTCAGTGTGGTCTGACCAGCGCGCTGCGAGCTGCGGCCAGTTAAGGTAGACCGTATTTGTTTGCGCTGGCGGATTTGAAATGGAGCATAATCTCGAGCAGAGAACTAACGTCAAATTTTGTGTTAAACTGGGAAAATCCGCAACTGAAACGCTCGAAATGTTAAGAAAAGTTTATGGTGATCATACTATGTCAAGAGCGCAAGTTTTTTTGTGGCATAAAAGGTTTAAAGAGGGAAGAGAAGACGTCAATGACGACCAGCGTTGTGGAGCGCCAATCACCAAACGAACACCTGAAAATGTCTCAAAAGTTACGGATTTAGTGCGTTCAGACAGGCGGTTGACAATTAGAATGATAGCAGAAGAG